GCAAATAGTGGCAGACGAAGACTGAAAATTGGTATTCTCCTCGGACGAAATGATTTCTATCCTGCTCGCCGCGCACTGCGGCCAGAGCCGTGTGCTGTAATACGGTGGCACGTTGAGGTCCGTCGAAAATATTGGGGACCCGGCTAGTGTGACGTAGTGAAATAAGAAATAAATTTCAATAACAAAAGAAAAATAATATATTAAAGATTATGTACAAGTTACAATGAATTGCTAATTTTAAAACACTCCGGCAACCTTTTCCTTTCAGAACACTGCTTTACCGCAGAAAATACAAGTCATGCGTGATGCGCGCTGTCGGACCTCGGTCCCGTGACAATTACCGTCACATGGCCTGACGCCAAAATTTAACCCGGTCATGGCGACCGTGTGCCTACAGCACGCGAGATTGTCTGGCCCTTACTCTCCGGACATCTCGCCCTCACTCCTACACACCTTGTACACACACGTACAAGCTTCCCGATGCAAACTGAATGAGCACGCGGGCGCAGATGGCGCCGCGTTAAATAATTGAGGCTGACACCCCCACCACTGTTCCATAGATAGGCTCGCCGGCTGGCGCGAGGCTCGCTGGCCAGCCTTGGTTTACGCCCCCACACAGGATTCTCAGGGTTGGCTGCCTGCTTCCGTAAACGAGGCTCGCCGGCTAGCATCCTCGGAGTTTACAGCCTACGGTATTTTTGGCTCTGCGGTTCTACCTGAGTCACCCGCCAGAGCGCAAACTCCCGGAAGTTCAGGCTCAACCCCTTCCTCTCCCGCAGCGTACTTTCACCGACCTAACGGTTCTGGCCCTCGTGTTAACGACGCCACACTAGGGTCAATTCCATGAACCTAGCGTTGCTGTTCACAGCCCCCAAATTTCTGAAATGTACTGGCCGAGAAAAGGGCTTGTTACATTTCTGAGGTTGATAGTATACAGGGTATTCATACTTAAAGTACACTGAACCCAATTGTGAAACACTGCATTAAAGACAGAAACTTCACCATATATTCCAACCCACACTGTGGTCTGCACCGTCAGCGGGGGACGAGGTGAACAGTTTGCAGAACTTCCGTCGATAGCGGAGCGCCCTGTTTAGTGAATTGCTCTGTTCCGCGGTCACGGCGAGAATCGTTAACCAACTAACAATTGATTCTTTGATTTCTGTTTGCTTGCTGATTCAAAATTTGAACCTAAATGGACCTAAAATAAACATTAGAAATATTTGCTTTGGATAAATGTGGCTGCAACATCTAACACCAAATTCACTTATGAGCGCTGTATACACGCGTGTCAAGTATGTCTTAATTTATCGCATTGTTTTTCCTTCCTCTTTAGAAGTTTCGTAATGGAATTGCTGTACGATGTAGGCGAATTTCTGTTGAAGATCATTGGAAGAAGTATCTAGAAAACGTGAATTGCCACACGAACTCAGAGGATCGGGATTCAGTGGATTTTATTTGAGCGAAAGGAGTCGGTCGGATCGCTGTCTTCGTACATTACCATCATACCACCACACATTGTGCTGTTTAGTTTTCAGTTTTTTTTTATATTATGAGTTTCATAAGTACCTACATAATAATTTAGTGCCATTGTTTTAAGATAGTTGTTTAAGGATAACTGTAGTCTCTTTATCCTTTCTAATCATGATGTTAGAACTAGTAGCATATCCGAGGGAGAACTCTCCCTCTTCTCTATTCTTCTGTTCCCCTATTAAACCCATAATATACCTTCTTATTCAAAACCCTCTTATCCTCCGTCGCGTGCTCTATATGTCTCCATGTACGTAATTTAATATAACAATGCAATATTATATCCTGGTTATTACAAACTATTCTTATTTAATTTTATTTACCTATTCGCAATTCGCAATGTGCAATTCAATCGCACATATAATCATGTAATTTGTCTAATTGCACATATAGCTGCAGATTCTGCATGTCTCTGAACAGGCGGGGTAGAATCAAGAAGCGCTGAACCAGCAATTTTTTTTTTAAATGCCCAAGAAAATCTCATCCGGTTGATAGTGCATGAGGAACGTTTCTTTGAGGTCTTTGGCGTCAATATTCCATAGTGTTTTAATGTCATATAATGCTTCGTTTTCAAGTTATATAACTATTTAGATTTCAACAACGGTACTGAGTGTTGCGGGTTGCATTTGACAAGGATATTTATGCGGTTTTTCAACAAAGCCTTAATATGTTTAATGGTACAGTGTAATTTCTCTCGTCTATGTGAAATTCACTTTCTTTAGAGATCTTATGAAGTTTGGTTGCGTGTGAGAGCCGCAAAACTCATCTGTACTACTGAAATAAAACGGAAGAGGATAATATTTGTATTATCTTCGCTTTTTAGTCTATCTTTTCCTTCCATCATGTATACTGGTAGTATGTTAGGCCCACCAATCTGTCCTAACAAACAGTAAGCGAGTACTGTAATGCAGTTCGTAAATAATGCGTTCATGTTTACGTAAGCTTCCGCGGCTGGAATCCATGAATTCTCGGCTATCCGGAAGACGCCGCGTCGTTGGCTGGCATTAATGCGTTCATGTAGTCTCTTGGTTCGGGCTTCCTCGCTCTCGGAATCTGGGCCCTGGGTAAGACGCAAAAGCAGCGCCGGAGCCCGCCCTGGCGACATGCCGGAGGTCATCAGTCTCCGCGTCTCCGCCCGCATGGGGGGCTCTGGGCCGGCCGGACGTCCTCGCGTCGTGCGAGCAGCCTTGTTTCAATTGACCGTCATTGCTCCAATTACAGCTGCGCCTTGCCTCCTAATTGTCACGTACCCCGCAACGAAAGCGCTCCGGAGGATTTCTGGGCAGAGGCCCGCGTGCGACGCGTGAGTCACGCGCCCACATGCCGATCTGCCCCCTCCCCTCGCCCAGCGCCGGCCGTTCGGCGTCTTCGTTCTACCCCCCTCCCCCCAGGGGAAATTGTACGGGCGGAGAACCTAGGGACGGATTATTTTGTTTATCGTGTGGTATGAAGTTTCGGGGAGACGGCTCAAGGGCTGGAGTTCCGAAGTCAGAATCTCAGTACCACCGTCGTCGGTTCTCCGTGTTAAAGATGATTATGATTGTCATAACCACCGTCGTCAGTTCTCTATATACGTTGAGATGTATTGATGATAATGATGATTATGTTAGTCACGAATAGAAACCGGAAAATATAAAGTATGAAATGGTAAAAATAAGTACATAAATATGTATTAAAATACAAGAGTAAGTAGTAACTATGTAAAAAATACATTATGTCGAGGCAAATCAATGAAAACCTCGTGTCTCCATAGGTAACCCAATGGAGTTACGAGCTTTTCATTGCCTATCATAAAAAGTACGTTCTTAATTATAGAACATTTGTAAACAAAGCAAATTAACACAATTTGAAACTGCATTAATAAAATATTTATGAAATCAATTTTAAAAATAAATATAGTTTGGCCTTCTGGATTAATTTTTTATGAGTACATTTTTTCTCTGAGAGCAATATAGCCATCGTACAACGAGGGAACTCCATGACCGGCAAACAGCCACTACAGTATTCTCTTTGAAGTGTTCCACGTCTCAGATAATCGAATTTTGTCACAAAATGGTATTAAAGATCAAGAAACACCATGTTCCAGATACGTTTCACTTGTAATGTTAATCTACTCAGCTCTCACGCGCATTTGTCATGACATATATGCAGGTTAACCTTAACAGCGCCATTTCGCGTCTTCACATAAGGCACCTCGCGTCCTCAGCACGCGATTCTGAAATTGATGATTTTGAATTGAATGTTTATTTTTTGCTTGAAAGCTATTTTTGAAAATGTATTACGTATTTTTGGGAAATGCATTTCAAGAAAATTGGTAGAATAATAAATAGTTTTGCAAAATATATAGAAACATTTGTATACTGTATTAGGATTACCGTGATTCGCAAAGATAATATTGAGAAGTAAACATAGAAAGAAAAAAACGTAATTATGCAAGAATCCGACCTCTAGTAATGAGCATGAAGATCGAGGTGAAGTGGTAAATATCCTAGGAATGCATCGAAACTTCTGTAATAAATCCGGCATTCAGTTTTTATATAAAATGTTCTTCATAAACCTGTATGATACATTCTACAAACGTTTTTACTTTTTCACCCTTTTTTCTTATAGTTTTAAATACTATCGATGGGTGGATAGTTTCTATCGATTTCACCTCAAGGTCATCAGTTAGGAATGATGCATTTCATCAAAGGAATTGAAGAGAAATAACTTTATTTATGAATTAATGAGAAAAAACTCCCTTTTCACTCACACTTCAATTACGGAAGAAATTAATGCATCTATAAAATACTCGTGTTATTTTCTAGGCTAATGTATCACTGAACTGACGAGGCGATTGATATTTTCACTGATCAAATCACTTAACTGATCTGGTGTTTACGTTTCTGCTGTTTGTATTATGTTCTTTACAAGTAAAAAAATGTGAATATATTTCTTTTATTTTAAAATGTGTCAGTTGTTTGGTTGCCATTAAATGTAGTACAAAAGGATTCTTTAAGAAATAGTTAACCATTTCATCCAGAAACTGTCTAATATCGATGTAGAAGACAATATGTAACATTTGTAGTGTGACTACGTTTTAAGGGCTTTTTGTTCATTTATGTGCACTTAATGGAGGTTATGAGAGATAAGTCTCCTCTATCAATACGTAACGAAGGATAGTATTTAAAAAAAATTATTTGGATTCCAATCTAAGCAACGAGTGGTTCAAAAGAACTTTGAATGTTTTTCAGTTTTATTCAAAAACGTATATGCAAAACACTGCAATACTTTAATAAAATTTACAATAAGAATGAATTTAGTAACTTGGTGATAATTATTAACACTTACAATAATATTCTCTGGAATGAAACTTTCCCCTCTCCTTCCTGACATCTAAGCAAAATAGTTGTCCCTAGATGTATCCTAGTTACGAATAATTCGTATAATAATCTCGCCGTAATCGTCAACGAGTAGCAAACTGTTTCCAGGAAGGTGTGCCCTTGGGCAGTTCTGTGACTAACGAATCCTCTTGTTTATTCCCTGCCTTCGCCAGGGCGTACCTCGACGAGAAGAGCGCCGCCGCCGAAGACGAGTCTGCGGCGACGACGGACGGCGTCCCCGAAATAACGTAAATACGACGCCCACCGCTCGCCGCCGGTCGCTCCGGGGCCGCCGCGCCCGGGCTCCAGCTGCCCTTTTGCGTTTGCGCGCTGGCCTGCCTTACTTTGCGCGGAGAGGCCTCCGTGCTCGGACGCGTGGAGCTCAGTTCAGGGTGGCCATGACCCTGAGGTCTAAATCTAAACCGAATGAAAGACAAATGAGTAATAGCGTTCGTTTTATATATGAGATAAACGACGTAGATTGGGAGGTCCTCGATACGAAAACAGACGTTTTTTCTGCACCAGCAAATAAATTGTTTTAAAGGTGACACTGACTGTATGAGAATTCCGAGGCAAGTAAGTGATGAGGGTGTGAACTGCCAGAAAGAACTGTTGAGGTCTGCTGATAAGTCCGGTCGTTTTGGTGGGTTGCTTCGATCAATTTACATTCGGATGCTTAAACAATGGGACACGGACTGCGTGCAGGCGCGGATTCACGGGGAGAGAAATAAGGGAAAACCCCTCCTAAAATGTTTCATTAACTATTAATTTTAAATTGTGTGAAAACTTTCAAGAAAAAATATTTTCGGATAATAATTAAGACAAATAAAATCGTATCACAGCTTGAGCTGAGTGTATCTGCGACATTTTACAAAATCGCTAATATAACACATTCGGCCAAAACATTTTGAATTTCCCCTCCCCAAATTTGTCTCTGAATCCGCCCCTGCTACGTGTCCCTGTCGTATCCCGACTCCCGCTTTTAGGATTTAGTCTCTGTGCGCCAATCCCATTGCCTTAGCTTTAAAAAGGACTGCAGAAGTACTGCTAGTATGTGAATAGTTTACCAAAACCTTCTGAGCTAGAGAAAGAAGGGGATTGCATATTTAGAAAAAAATAAGCAGAGAAGCGTAAACGATATTTCTCCAACTAAATACATGTAATTACTCTGTTGGTTTACTTAATGTAATGCGTGACCTATTCTCATGCTAAACTCCATTTGGCGTCGTATTCGTTTAGAGCGAGACCACATGGTCATGGCCGCATTGGTTTCTGATTGAGCTTCACTCTTCGTGGCGAGAAGGTCTCTCTAGATGGACTAATATAGATCAGTGGCGTATGGCGGCTTCTTGCGTACTAATTTTCAGACTTCGCTTGCGTAATTAACATATCTTCACTATCTTTCCACTCCTAGGGGATGCCTTGAAAACATGACATGAAAAACGGAATAATTAGATGATTATTCAAAATGGGTTATCCCACTTGATTATACAAAATGGGTGGAGTCACTTTGTTCATCCATCACTTTTACGTTTCAAAATTGATTGTGTGGACCACCAAAATATCTAGATTGGTTCAAAAGTTATGTTTTTACGACCACGGGAGAAAAATACACAAAGTCTCCGGTGAAAACATAACCCTTCTTAAATGTAGTAATGTCTTTTTGTCGCTTCTTGAGGCTATAATAACTAATATTCATTTGGCTCTGCTAATAAAGTGTTGTAGGGAGTGAAATAGTAATGCTATGTCAATGAGATGCATTGAAATAGTTTGCTTATGCTAACACTTTATATGTAGTGCTATTTTAAGTCTCAAATAACACAAACTGAATGTTCCATTCATTTACTATATTGGTTTACATGTTCCAATTATTCATATTAAGATGTGATTGAATTGAATTTTTTTTTGTTTTGTGCAAGTAACAGTGATCCCACACGGTTAATTCATATTCGCGTTAAATGTCTCATATATAAATCTCCCTTAATTTATTTTGTAAATTCAATACATGTTCATACTTGAAATTTTTGTTATTTACTCAAAGTAAAAAATTATATAACCAAATTTGCATCACGAATGTTTTTCAAATATCGAACTATGACGTCACATTTACATCTAAGCAATGCTTGTATTCTCTTGTAAGTAATGAGTTCACAAAACAAAACAAAAAAAAGCAAGTGATTGATGACATCTTAAGTAAAATAGGTATTCAACTCATCGGCATTGCTTCTGCGTCTAAACATTGAACGGTTGTTGATCGAAGAAAACTGCAGATTTTATCTTTATATTTGAATTAAAATTGACCGTCCCAGTGAAATTCTTAGGAACTATAGTACCTAAAAGTGTAACGCATTTCACTGACATATTTTATTGACGATGTATCTTTTATCATTGGGGCAACAACAAACAACAAAATATTTCTTAAAAAATCGCGACGAGTTTGCAAAAACTGAAAACTTTCAGTTGTTTAAAAACATTTTTTGGGGACGTTCAGGTAAACTAATTTAGTCAGAACAGTTTTTAAAATATTTATTTAAGATGTAAAAATACTTTATGAAAATCTCTATTGCATCCACATCTCTCAATTGGAGAATATTTGTATGAGACAAAGATGATTTATCTCGTAGCGGTAATGAAGAACACTGAGAAAGAAACACTTGAATTTCAAATTGAAAAAATTCTGCGGTAGTGCTGTTGGGTAATCTAGTGTGTACGGAAAAATTAAAATTCAATAATTCTTCATCATTAACTCTCTCAAATCTATATAAAGCTTCTCTTGGCATGTTAATTTTTGAGAATAATTTTTTTATTACTGAACATTTTTTGTTTGTTTTGAATGTGCAATTATGTTGAACTATTGATGGTGTTTTAGTAACCTGTCGAGTGTCACGGAACGTAGTATATTCTTCATGTGGGAGATGTGTATCCGCATCTTATCTTGAGAAAATATGTTAATCATCCTTCTTGCGTAATTTCTTCAGCGATGAAGAGGCAAAGGCTGAAGGAGAAGCGGGAGAAGGAGAAGCGGCAGAAGGGGAAGAAGGAGAAAAGGAGGAAGAAGAAGAAGGTGAGGCGAGGGAAAGTTTACAACAAGTAAAAGCTCGGCCTACCAAACCAATCGAAGTCGGTGCCGGCGAAGCCAGAGCGGGACGCGACACAGCCGTCAAGGCCAGTGGCGGCCGAGCCGGAGACGGCCTATCCGCATCCAGGCTCGGGTCTGGTGAAGCCGGAGCCGAGCGCACTCGGGCCGGCCGAGCCGGGTCCGACCTACCTGCAGCAGGCAAAGTCGGGGCCGGCGAGGCTGTAGGTGAGCCAGTTGCAGCCGGGCGATGGGGGCCCAGACAAGCTGAAGACGGTCAAAGGCAATTTGGAACTGGGCAAGTCAGTGCTGGGAAGGCTAGCGATCCGCAAGCCAGCGTCAAACCGATCGGCCCTGGGAAAGTTGGTCCCAGGTCAACCAGTTCAGGGCCAGTTGGTGCCGACATTGAGGGCTCCAAGGTACCGAAAGAGGTAGGGAAAGGGAAAAGTATGATTACTCTGTATGACGATGAAGAAGAAAAACGTCGACTCTCTGAATTAGAAACAGCCGATAAAGAAGGACGTGAAAGGTTAAATAAGGAACTAGCTCGCGCGGAAAAATTGAAACACGAAGCTGATGAGTCTCATAAAAGCTTACGTCATGCGAATCGGTGGGGTAGAGATGCAGTCCAAAAAATTAACAATGATATACTGGACCTCAGGCAAGAAGTATCTAATTTGGATGCATCTAATAAGGCTTTTATTGACAAAATTAAGGATGACTTATTGGCAGAGCAGCTTGATGTTCCAGGCCCGCCCCGTGAGCTGGAAGAGGCGCCAGCTGAAAGAGCAGTTCCGCCTGCAAAGCCAAAGTTAGTCCAAGCGTGAGTCTGCGTGCGTACTAAAAGTTGTGCTGTAAAAACGTGTGCCTTTTCTTCCTAAACTAACCTAAACTATCTCCAGATTGTGCTATTAATACATATTTAAACTAGTTCTGTTCAAGGACTTAATATTTTCTTCATTGATGGAGTGACGACATATATACTTTATTATGAATTTAATAAATTGAATATTTAATTTATAAAATTGATTGTGTTACACTGATTTCATTCAATGTTATTTCGAAGAAACTAGTATTTTTCAGCCAATTCAAGATCACAGATAATTGAACCACAAGGTTCATTTCAGACTAACGTACATTGTCTAGGCGATAGTGTTTGTCAATGAAACAAATGAAAATTCGTTATCACAATTTTAAACTTTCAAATATCTGTATGGAGGACACATTTAAATACTGTGGGTAAAAACCATTGACGTATTCAACAAACGGAAAAAATCTAATACATCGTCCAATGGCATTTTTATAACTATTTTAAGAATCCACAGTACACGGATAAATAAAACAAAAAACTTTTGAGTTTTAAAAATTTTATTGAGTGAATGCTTCATTAATATATTTTTTACTATTTTGAAACTATTATTTACTTTAAAAATGTGTGTACAGTATCTGTAAAGTAATGTGTTTAAAATGAAGATTTTTCTTTGATCCTTTATTTTCTCACCAACTTTAATGATTAGTTGTGAATTCATGATTCCACTTTCCAAACAGATATGCAATTAGGTTTTTATATATAGTGTTAGAAGTAGGCCATGTGATTCATATCAAATCATAAAACTTTTTATTATCATTTATCTCTTTCAAAATCCTCCTACATTTGATATCATAATTTGATTTCATGGTGTTCGAATAATTCCTTATACAAAACTCAGAACACCTAAAACAGAATCGTAAGAATTCGTAATCACAAAAAACTACTTAATTTTTGAACAATCAAATTAAGATGTTCCTATAATGTTTTTCTGTTGCTCACATCAGCTTCATTGCATGTGTTTGTTTTTCAGAAATGCGGCAAGGACGATTTATTCACACAAATACATAATGCTTTCAGATATGAGCTAAATAATATTTCTCAAACAAAAGGGAGATCCATGAGACGTGCGAGAAAAAAATAATTGTCTGAACTCCATCAATGGAAATGGGATTTTTTCCTGGCATAGAGATGTCAGCCTCATTATCAAAATTTTATTTCTTATTGAAGTAATTTACAACTAAAATTACTTATGCGTATGCATTTGCTATGTTTGGTATGGTAAGATGGAGCAAATTATTGCAGTTTGAAATAAATCTGCGCTAAAGGGGGTTTCTTCATAAATACTGATAAATTTATCAAAAATGGGACTAAGTGAAAACTGAGAATTGATATCAGATTCTTCAATTGATCCGGTGTTCGTCTTCGTTGATCGTTAACAGGTGTGTCAATACAGTGTGAGCAAAAATATGAGTGCTACTAGGGGTATCACGAAAATGCATTCTGACGAGGTATTGAAATAATTTTTTCGTGGAACTCTAGGCTCTCAAAGATATAAAGCTTGATACGCTTATTGCTGCAAGCGAGAGCATACGTTGTATCATTAATTTTCAACATTTGCTTCTTACATGAAAATTTTGAATATCTGTTCAATTTCACGGGTAGTTAAAGACAGTGAATGGATAACAAATGTAGTTATTCGGGCGCGAAAAATGTTCCGTAAAATATGAAAACGTACATTATGAAGTGTTCTCAAAAGATTAACGGTTCTCTTCAGATTAATGAGCGGTAATATTTTGACCGTATTATGAAAATGTAAACAGCTTTGAGAACTCCTTATGATACACTTTTTCGTATTTTAAATTACGTTTATTTTCATTTAGAGAATATTTATCACTACTTTTGTGAAAAAGACCACGAAATTAGAAAAGTTAACATCAATTGAAGGATAAAATAATCCCTGTGAAGTCGTTGTAAAATGAACTTGAATATATGATTGTAATATGAACTTGAATCATATTTCTCTGAACGTGGAGAGATTTATGGAGAAGAAGAAGAAAGATGAAATTCGTCTAATCCGCAATTATTACGCATGAATTTTTGTTTGTTTTTATCATTAACATTTTAACGCATTTGAAGTGAATTTTCTAACATTTTGAATACTGCAATTAATGCTCTTTGAATTACTTCTTACAAATACAACCACTTCTTTGCCGAGCGGTAATGTACAACTATAATTCTAACATAATATATAATTATGTTATTATATAATAATTAATTATGTTGCTACGTAATATTGAACAGAAACATTTTTTTTTTCGTAACGGTTGTATTCTCAGGAGGCAGTAATTGTATGGGTCGTATATAATATTGCTATTACACTTCAAGGTAAGTAAATGTCCTCTATTATAATGCTTAGGAAGTAGATATGTTGAATGTTTGCTGACAAATATTCCTCAATATTTGTCATAAGCAATGTTTTTTCCACTCATGACATATTCATTTCCAATCTCAGTCTCTCAGTTTTAGATAATTATTGATCAGGTATCAAGAGTTCCTGAAAAGTCATTTGTCACTTCATTATTCTCACAGGCAATTCTTCAAGGACACACACTCCCTTTTTTATACATTATGTCGCAGTAAGATCCTCCCTGGCTGTCTAGAAAGTTATTACAGCGTTTTTTCGCGAATTGACAGAAATTAACAGGCTACTGTAGGATTAAGACACAGCTAGTCGCGGCCAGTCATCTCCAGTTGCTGAGTATGATACATGAAACCTGCTTCTTTTACATGATGCGTAGTCTAAAATGTGTCCTGGATGTGCAACGTTATTTTCGTGCCTTGGTTGTACCTGGTTTGAAAGGGGTGTTCCACAGTCATTAGGGGTAGTGTATAGTCATTTGCGATAGCGGATAGTCATGGAGGTCCATAAATATTTATCAAAATTAAGCAGAGAATGTTAATTCTAGGCCCTAAGATTAAATCACTTACGTTTTGAGTTTTCAAAGTGTGCATTTCTGCTGGGGGAGCAGGGCATCAGGATCGAACCGGAGGGAAGTCTTGATGTGGGCTGTTAGATGACACCCAAATCCTCTTTTGACTACAAATCGATTCAGGAAGGAGTGTTAAATATTCCGCATTTATTATACTTAATAACTAGACCTCAGGTTTTAAGACAAATGCCTATTTAGTTCCTTTAGGGGGTTGTGGAAAATAATAGCAGATGTTTACGAATCATGAAAAAGGAAATATACTGAAAGCGTTTAATAGTGCCTAAAATATCCCAGAGGAACGGTTAATGCCTATTTTAATACTTTTCCCTAAAACTACCTAAAACAAGCATTTTTTAAGAATGATCATATTTTAATTGCTCATTTTTAAATGAGTTTTACCAAAATGAAATTACTTTCCCAATTTCCCTAAACGTACGTACGAACGAACGAACGTACGAACGAAACGTACGTTGTAAATATTCTCTGATCAAATACACAATCGACTACGTATCGAAATCTCTCACCCAACGCGCTGAACGTAAAGAGTTCTGCAAGACAATATAAAGAGGATGTTTCACGCTCGTCTCCGACCTTGGACAATTGCACCCATTCCCGGTACAGCTGCGCTGTAGAGAAGTTGAGAATGAAAAGTGAAAAAGCATGAATGAAATGAAAGTGAAAATAATAATATGCTTATAGTCATTCTTATGAATGTAAAAATACTTGACTTTCTTGAAAAATTAAAAGTGCCTGATTTAATCCTTTTGTGATCAGTTTTGAATGCCAGAAACATATCTTTTCATGTCAAAAGAATTTTAAACGACTGGTTGAATCATTTTGTACCTATTTTAAGTGCCTAAGACGTCACTTTTCATACCTACTGTTGGCTAATTTCATAATTTTTTACCTATTTTAGGTGCCTAAATCATCACCTTTTTGGGCCTAAAATTCCGAGGTCTAGTAATACCATCAGTAAGTTGGAATTTATACGAGAACTTGCAAAGCATGAGTGTTCGACCTGTGTTCCTTTCTCTCCACTGCACGTTCAATTCTGACGTTTTTCTTGTGCACCTTCTTAGTCTCTAATAGCTCCTTCGTCAAAATAAGTATATATTTTCCTCATAATTTATTCCCGACATTCTCATACTGAATCATTTTACTTTTGAGGTGCCTAATGTGTTCGTTATAATATTTGGGTTATAGATTATTTTTAAATATTTTGTGAAAAATAAAAAGCTCAATACTCTCTAACACAACGGACGTGAAGTTATTCTTTATTTTCTCTACAATACTGCTAATTCGTGGCCAATAAATTACTCAATCAATTCTATAATTCTCCATAATCTCTTCTTTTCGAAACATCTTAAACTATAAAAAACTATTGAAGGATGAACGTATAAAATGAACGCGTAGGCTTTCGCAGCCGAAGTTTATGCTGTCTGGGAGTCACCGTGACCTAGGCATATTTGACAGCAACGGCTTGGACGCGGCGTCTGCCGAACAGCCAAGTACCTATTGAATTTTAAAACTACTCGGTTCTAAAAGAATTGGTCATCATCTGCCAAGAAGAGTCTAACTGACGAAAGGCATGTAAATGAAATAAACAACTAAAATATAAGACATTTGTTCTCTCTTTTCGTTTCCTAGATCCAACAAAAGGTCACAGCGACAATTATTAAATATTTCAATTATTCATTAATCGTCATGATGCCTGTATGTGTCTTCTGTGCCCCAAATGTTTTATAATTTTATTTTTTCGATATGTTCGATTGAATACTTGTTAGATTTTAAAAGTGCTGTCTTTACTTTAAATCATGCTTTGTATTTTTGTTACTCTGTCATTTTGTATTTTCAGTTCGTTTAAATGAGATGAAAAAGAATAAGTTGAAAAAATCGACAAAAATGAATGCGAAGGTTTCAAAGGATGAGAAAAAAATAGGTAAACAATATTGAATAATTATTTTACATTTTTGTGCAATTTTTATCTTGAAGTAAAGTATATGTTTGATCATTTTCTTAAACCTTA